CGAAAACCCATGCCGAACAATATATCCTGTTCCTGTTTTGGATGCCGACATTTTTTATTTGCTTGGGCACTTTAGAGTATGCACATTATATACACATTTCAAGGAAACAACATTTTGCTTACAAATCAGTTTTTCATCACTAGAGACCATGTTGTTTCTGTTGTGTGAGTGACGGTTTTCAGTAACCTATTCATATACACGCGTTGATGTTTAAATTATTATATATTGAGTGAGTGAGTGAGTTAAGATTGAAAGTCACATCGGCAATATTTCAGCCATATCGTGACTAGTTCGAACTTCATAATATATACATATAATATATAAAACCCTGTCAACGAAGGACAGTAAAATTACTAGGTTATCACAAATGAGGTAAAACTAGCTAGCATATATCTTTAAAAGTAGGAAAATATATTTGAACAATACAATATAAAAATGGGCTATTGATCGCCAACAATTGAAGGTAGATCACCATACCAGGGCCTATGGGGACTTACACTATTTTGGGAGTAATGTAAGTCCCCATGAGCCTTAGTATGGTGATCTACCTTCAGTTGTTGGCGATCTATAGCCGTATTTTATATTGTGTTGTCTTCTTTAATTTGAATATTTTAACATTGCGCTAGTTTTATATTTATAGCTGTGTTTCTCTAGTATTTTTACTGTCCATCGTCGACAGGTTTTAATCTTCAAAATGTTTCTACTTTTTATTGTATGGCTTGTTTTCGTCACGATATGGCTGCAATATTGCCCATGTGACGTTAAATATTAACTCACTCACTACATTATTTTGGCTACCTGAATGGACCCTAGTTGGATTTACACCATCCCTTCAGCCATTGGCGACAGAAGAGAAATCTAGCCATAAATTAAAAGCACACATATTCTACGATTAAAAACGTGGCAAGCCTAATTTTCTCTATTATATATTGTCAGTGATATGGCTGGGAGATACGTTTTATAAAAGTCAGTTCATAATGTATTACCATTGACGTGTTCCAAGGTATTATGTGATAATGTAGTTACCAATATGGCTGTCAGTAGTCAGTACATACAGGACGAATCCTGATTCGTGCGTCGTCTCACTAAGCTACTGTTCTGTGTTTAAGATAACAAACAATGTCAAAAAGGGCTAAGGTATGTTCATCAAATACCTAAAAACACGACAAACCACTATGTCCTAATTAATGGCCACAATGTACCCTGTACCTATCAAAGACAACACAAATATGTACAATAACATCACCTTGCAATACCAGAACAGACATAGGTGTGTTGTTGCTTTGTCATGTTTTGGTTTCATTTGTCATTTCGTTAGTTTGGTAGAGTCGCAACACGAACTTCTTGCGTTGCAATTTTTTCACTTTCTTCTCCAAGAAACTGTCTGCAGACAAAACCATATCCCAATCCATGTTAATGTTTGTTTGTTTATTGTTTAACGACGTACCCAGCAATATTCCAGTGAGATATTCTTGCGGCCTGTAAATAATCGATTCTGGACCAGACTATCCAGTGATCAAAATCATGAGCATCGATATGACTTGTGTCAGCCAAGTCAGCGAACCTGATCGCCCGATCCCATCAGTCGCCTCTTGAAGGGATCTTCAGGGGATCTTCACGAAATCCATGTTAAATGAAAAAGTTAAATGAATATGACAGTACAATTATTGTTGCTTAATTCTTTGAGGAAACGAATGGATATCCAAAACCACATGTTCTGTGTTTGTTTATGATCTTCGCTATCAGATACACTTGGTCCGATGTCTCAGTGCTATATTCTTCCCAAACCAAACTTGACCCTGAAACCCATGTCCTGGTATTTACATTCAGTGGCGACTAGTAATACAAGAGATTAATGGCAGGATATTAATATCGCATATCCAGATCTACATTATATCAAATACACATGATGATCAGAGTTATCGAGCTATCGGACCGAGATGTATCTCCGGAACTGGATATTTTCCTCTCAGGCCTCCATAAAGATTCGAGGGGATTGCACAAAGGCCGTATTAACTTGCCAAGGCCATTACGTTCGTTATTCCTTGTGGTAAATGTGTTATCCCGAGTTCGAAAGTATGGTTCAATAAAGAATGTTCTGGGATGTCATAATAGTCTTCGTATATTGCTGCAAAAGTATCTTAAGACCATACTCCCTACATGTACGCCAGCGGCTGAAGGGATGGCGTAAATCCAGCAAGGCTCCATGCAGGTAGCAAAAGTAATGTAAGTCCCCATGGTTCCTAGTATTGTGATCTAACTCCAGTTGTTGGCGATCTATAGCCCGTGTTTTATACTGTATTGTCTTCTTTAACTGGAATGTTTTAGCTTTGCTCGCTTATTTTATATTCATAGCTGTGATTCTCTAGTATTTTTACTGTCCATCGTTGACAGGTTTTAATCTTCAAAGTATTTTCACTATTTATTGTATAAATTGTTTTCGTCACGATATGGCTGAGATATTGCCGATCTAACGTTAAATATTAACTCACTCACTCACTCACCCTACATGTATAAAAAGCCACATTTATTCGTCTTTTTTGTCACGAATTGTACCCCTTTTGCGATATACCTCACTGAATGAGTGAGTGTGCTTCCAACAAAATTTCAGCTCATTATCCCATGTAGGGAATCGAACTCAGGTCTCTAGCTGGACGAGAGAACGCTGTAGCCACTTGGATATCAAATACCTGCGTGTGTAAGCATTTGTTTCTAAAGTAAGGAATTCCAATCATAGGAAAGAATTAGACCGAAGTGTAGAATATGCTTGTTTTTATTAACCAAATGATCTCATGCTGTTTAAATGTCAGTATATACAATAGCTTTCAATTTATGTACATGTTCAACTGGGTATCGTATAGACGACCTCAACCTGCTCTTAGTAATGGACACAGTCAAGTTACAAAACCCTCACGACTGCATAAGCATTTTATGTCTGGTCTGTATTCTTCATATTTAGTGTTATCTGCTTCAAAGGCCTCGATGTATATGAGATACTGACTATGTACTGACTGAGTTACTAACACGTCGCAAGGGTAGTGACCAAATTATTAATATGCAACAGTTTACCGATAAAGATTGAGGACACCAACCACAAACAAAAACATGTGTAACACTTCTTGTTTAATTTTCTTCAAAACAGTTATAATTTCTACATAACATTACAGGCTGTTCCTTGTTCGCAGCTACTTGATGATATTGTAGTTGCGATCCCTGTTATATTATAAGGCCGTTTTTCAATAGGGTTGGGCGATAATACCGGTTAACCGGTATATCGCAATTCGAACTTCGGAGTACGAGATATTGCGGTACACTTTTCGCGAACCGGTTCACCCGATACGATCGGCAATTTCCGTGACTCTGATCGGTAATTTTCGTGATGTAGTTAAAAATACTAATAAGATTTGTATTTCCTTTGTATCATTACACATTAATAGTTTTGAGAATGTATATTGGTCAATCACATTTGTGTGCTGAAAGTGGCCAGTGGTATTGTTTCAAATGAAAGGGCGATAGTAATTTCATCACCTTATTTAACCCATTCAACACCACAGGCCGGAAAACCGCCAAGACGTCACAGGTCCCCAGACACCGAAAGGCGGTAAACCGGCCTGGCAGTAGGCGCATCAAAATGGTATATAATTTTAGGAACCTACCTAACATATGATTCACTTATTAAATCCATCACTTTTCACAATGTCTGAAAATACTTATTACATTTCAAATAAACATATATTATCGACAGAAATAGAAATATAAACTATTTTTCGCAATGTTATTAAAAACCAAAAAATTATTCGGCAACGGGTCCACATCAAAGTTGTCAAAGAGCAAAGTAACGATGTTTCGAGGAAATAATTCAACAAATTGAATAATCTAAAGAATAAAATCAAGAACAGTACTCATAAAAGTTGTCAAACGTACATAATAAGTTACTATTTTCCATCTTTTTGAGTGCGATCATGAAATGTAAGCCAAATAACATTTCGGATTTGGTCGCCTCGAATTTCATGCTTGCACACGGTGTTTAATGGTAAAATATATGCTTGAAACATTTTTGTCGCAGGTCATAACCAAGCAGGATACGACAACTAAGTTCCATAAGGTGGTGATTTTGTGCGTAACCCGTTCAGAACAGGATGATTTTACCCAAAACTTTCGTCTAAATCTAAAGTTTTCGTTTACGAGGACGGTATCCATTGCTGTAATAATATTGGTTGCCTCAGCTCACGTGCATGATTTTGACCAATCACGAGCTTATAGCAGACATTCGTAACTACTCGTGTCATTCCGGCAAGCCGGATGGCGACTCGTACCTATCTCGTGGCCATGTTCACGACTAGTCTAGGAATAGGAAAAGCAAGATTTATAGATGTCAACTTCTTTATTGTGGACAACACGACTTTTCGGAGTGTATGCTTGCTCCTTCATCATACATTCATTCCAAGTGGGGGGGTACCAGTCTACCCTTCGTCAGGAGCAAGCATACACTCCGAAACGTCATGTTATCTCGCTTTTCTTATGCATTCCACTTCTAAATGCCCTTCAAAGATTTAGTGTAGGAATATTTCCAAAGATAGATAACTCTGAATTTCCAAACATGGCCACTCCTTGAAAGGTATGTAAAGTAAGTTTCTTATGTCGTTAACAAATATCAGCAAAAAGATAATTGTATAATCCCGGAATTAATAATGAAAATCGATAATATATCGCAATACGAAAATTTTGGCGATACCCAACCCTAGTTGACAATCAGTATACATTTGTGGCTTCGATTAAAGAAAAAGGTGCATGATAAAACTGAACGGGCGTATCAAGGTATGAGATAAAGAAATCTCTATTGACTGTACGTTGGGTAATGGGTAAAAATGCATAATCTCTTCAGAGCTTTACTTAATCATAAACATAGACAAATTAAGTACAGGAAATAAAGTGTGAATAAGACTAGGTAAGTTCATCTTCTGTTCATGTACTGTGTGATTCTATATATGGAGAACCTTTATCACACATTTATCACAGATTGGCGTAGACGTTGGAAGCACGGTTATATTCCTTAACCATGTTATAGCACAGCTTGAACTGATCCTGCAAATAATATACAGTGATAGATAGACAAAGATAACTGATAGTCGTCAACAGTAAAACCAATTGAGGAACAATGAAAGCTGTTCAAACGCTACATACATGCATTCGTGAAATGAGTGTTGAAACTTTATTGCAATTCCTCGTTATGACAACGAAACAGTGGCTTGCAATAAGCAAGGTGCATCTTGGTGGATAATTCAGAGCAGGAGCAGGAGGTAGCAGGGTAGCATAAGCGAGGTTAATATCTGAAGTCAATCGAGGATGGACATGGTGCAGACAAACCTAGAAACATAACCGGGATTCGAACCCGAGACCATAGGTTTCTGGTGTGACCCAACTATGTACAGCCAACTGCGGCGCGTCCATTACTGATTTAGTCAGTCAAGATTGCTAAATATCCCCACTATATACCACCGAAACAGATGCGCATAATTCAAAGAACTGTGCAATAAAATAACTAAAGAGTATTGACTATAAACCCAAACACCGAATCGAAGTAAAGCACATTTACATTTACATGACAATGTGAAATTCACCTGATGTGGAGCGTAATATGTGACACCGTTATTATTATCCTTGATATGTGAACGGTTACAAATTACAAAGTTACACCTCTCGCACGAGTTACATATTTCACAGTAGCGTGTCAGAAGTGACTTGGTTATTATTGTCCTTGAAATGTGAACGGTTACAAAATACTTTATTTCACCATTTGAACTAGTTACATAATCACGGAAGCATGTTAGAAATTACGTAGCTACTCAAGGGGTCTGTACGAACTGGGGTCGTACGCTGTAGTTCCCGAATGGTGAGAAAGATGTCCACTGTTCTGTCCAACTTCAGCCTGGTGATGATGTTCAGGACGCTACAGAACACACCACTCGTTCCGGCACCGTCACTGGATTGAAAATCAACATTGAAAAAATCAACTGAGGCCACTCCGTTGGGTCATGAAAAGGCTGCCATCATAACGCAGAATAATCCCATCGTTTGAAAACCAAAGAGACAAATTCTTAAATCATTCATTCAAAGGTATTACCCTTAAAACAACTAGTGAGTGCGATTTTAACAATATTTCAGCAATATCAAGTCAGGGGAAGCCAGAAATGGGCCTACACAATATACCCATTTGGGGAATCGAACCCGGACGCTTCAACCACTACAGTCCGTTGGAGTCAGAAACGGACCGATGAATTGTAAATTTTATCATTGTACAAAATTGCCACATAAATATAAATAGTACACATGCTTATCATTTACGAATACCCAACAGCTTTCTTATATTTGAACATTTTCCGGACTCCACCAAAAAAGTTGTTTAAGAAACTATCATCATTGAAAACGCAAAAGTTGTTATCTGTCGCGGCGGGGTGAAACCGCAGAAACGGAACAGCCACTATCTCGTCGTGCACGGGATACACATGCCTGATGAAAAATGAAGTTGAATGCTGACGTGAAACAGTTGATGATTAAAGTGTACGATTTTTCCGTGCTGAAGCCGAAAGGGGGCATTTTATGCCATTAATAAATTTCGTAAGCGGGCAGCAAAAGCTTTAGGAGTATCAGCAAGGGTACTGACAAATGTTCTGGAACACAAACATTGTGAGGGTGATGCGAAGCAGGTAGGGGTCGTGTCAAAATCACACAAATTATAACATTTGGACAACTTTCAAAAGAACCTTGTAAGGCAGTCTATCAACAAGCTTTATTCTGAAAACAAATACATGTCGCTGAAAGTTTTTAAAAAGCATTTGAAGCAAGAACATAACCTCAGAGTATCAAAGTACACACTCTGGCGACTCTTACACTCTTTCGGGTATCGTTAAAGGAAAATTTCGGGGGAGAATAGGTCAGTACTCTGTGAACGCCCTGATATCGTTCGCTTGAGAAATAATTTTCTCAGGGTTATAAAGAAGAAGCGCGAGGAAGGGTTCGAGCCAGTGTACTTGGACGAGACCTGGGTCAATGACTCGCACACTGCCAGCAGTCAGTGGGTACCCGATGGGGGTGATAAGGGGTCACGTAGAAAGCTGCCTCTAGGGAAAGGAGAGAGACTAATCATTCTCCATGCTGGTTGCTCCAGCACAGGCTTTCTCCCAGACTGCGACTTGGTATTCAGGGCAAAGTCCACAGATAACAGAGACTACCATTCCGAGATAAATGGTGCGGTTTTCCTCGATTGGGTTAAATACAAGTTGGTACCAGCTCTACCAGAGAAGACTTTTATCGTAATGGACAATGCCCCATACTACAGCGTGGAGTACACCGACAGTAAAGCCCCGACATCGAACAGTCGAAAAGGTGGTATGATATCATGGCTCGACAAATTTCAGATCGCACGGCCATCAAAGGCAACGAAGCCTCAGCTATATGAGATCATAAAAACCCACAAAGGTGAACCTTTCTACAAAGTTGACAGTTACATAAAAAGTAAGGGTCACGATATTCTGCGACTTCCACCCTATCACTGTGACCTTAACCCCATTGAAATGATATGGGGTATTGTCAAAGGAGATGTTGCCAGATCAGACACAACTTTTAGATTACGTGACGTAGAGGTTTTGGTTAAGGAATCCCTTAACAAAATCACGACTGAAACTTAGCAAAACTGTGTCAACAAGGTAGCTAACGTCATTGAACAAGGTTACTGGTCTCGGGATGGCTTACAACAGGCAACTGTGGCACCACTTGTCATCCCTTTAAGTCGTGACTATGACACTGCGACAGACGAGGAACCAACAGGTCTCCCGGAATGGATTTTGAGATGTCCCCCACCATGACTGGCTGTTCCGTTTCTGCGGTTTCACCCCGCCGCGACAGATAACAACTTTTGCGTTTTCAATGATGATAGTTTCTTAAACAACTTTTTTGGTGGAGTCCGGAAAATGTTCAAATATAAGAAAGCTGTTGGGTATTCGTAAATGATAAGCATGTGTACTATTTATATTTATGTGGCAATTTTGTACAATGATAAAATTTGCAATTCATCGGTCCGTTTCTGACTCCAACGGACTGTAGGCTTCTCCACCGCTTTCTAAACAATTATGCATTGGACTCCAGACCGGTGAAAAATGTCGGTTTAGGTGGTGGTCCACTGTATATATCAAGATGACCTATCTTCGCTCGATGTTCAGTGTCAATATAATTTATCATTATTAACCATATGATATTGTTGTGGCTATACACAAATGTGGCTTGCACTTAGACAATTCTATTTTGGGCGCGTAAAGCAATCCAGTTTTCTGTTTCTCTTTCCATTTTGATTTTGCTTCCCCAGCGCCAATATCATGACGTTATGTGATTTGACCTTTGTTAATGCTTCGGGATACTTTACTGATCCTACGATTGCGCTCACAACACAGATACTGTTGTCACGCACATGTCTCAGAAAGTTATCACTGTACATTATGAACTAGAAATGATACAGTTGTAAAGTGTCATAAATGGCTTGAAGGCGTAAATTATATGTAGCTTAATTCCCATACAATACACACATTAAACTTACTGACAGTGCACCAGAACCTTGTGGTCAGCAGAGCTGATGATCCTGTCCACTCTACTGACCAGCTCGTGAAGGGCTTCGGTGTTGGTCAGCATGTCCATTGCTTGGAAGCAAAACAAGCTGACCAACTTCTCGCTGTTCTGTTTCTTTGAAGGAAATCATAAAACGCGTGTAAAGTTGGAAGATTGCATAAAATGATCGCAGGAAAATACCTTCATCGGAATAATGAAAATCAACAATATTATCACAATGGCTTTTGAAAACCTGTCAACGAAATGTAAAAAAAATCAAAATCAAGTTGGTTCATCTTCTGACCACCGATCATAATATTTCTTCTGTATTAGATGCTGAGAATAAGTGCGAGATGTATCAGATACACTGTGACTAAAACCACCAAATAGCCCCTCTGTCATTGGTGATATCATTTTCTGATAGCGCATTAAATGATATGTATTAACAGACCTCCTTGCCATATTGCAAGCGTCATCTTCCTCTCCATGTAGAATTCTCTGTTTGAATCGCTTCCACTTGCACAACATTGAATGGTCCCTGTTTCAGCACTTTGTTTTCTTCAGGGTACATTTCCAGTCGTTCCCTGCTTAAAAATCAATGTGGAATTTGGACATACTTTGTGTAAATATTAAATGACCTTATGATAGAAGAAAACGAAATAGAAGAGACAGTGGGATGTTTATATCAGATAATACCTACGTACCCATGTTCGCATATATATGAATGTTACTAGCCCAATGAATCAAAATTTTGTAAAGTGTATCTTTCCGATTGGAAGAACATCATCGTTTCTCATTTATCAAATCGTGCCAGTCGTAACAAAGCCAAAGATTTCATTATTCTCACTGAAGAGCTAAAATCAACGCACAGTTGAATCTCCCGAGTGATTATGGGATGACTTGCAGTCATGTATATTATTTTATAGAAGCACCGACCTGACGATCAGACAACGTTTGTCTGGTTACGTACATTTGTTCAGCGAAACGGTCAGTGAATGGATAAAATATTTCCCAATGCGGTAATGACACCAGCCGTCAACATGATGCTGAAATATGACTGTTACCTTGATAATAAACTAAGATATTGCACCAAATATTTACCTGTGCGTCATCTAGACAGACGATGGTGAAACAGTCATGGTCATACACAAGTCTCAGAAGTCCACCACAGTGTCTGGTAGCGGTGTCTGGGTGACGATCAGGCTTGACAGATGCAGAGTTGACTGAAACAAACATAACACTTTCGTTACTGGTATCAAAGGATTGACAATGTCCTCCATCTCTAAGAGATTGGAGTAAACTCAATGGTTTGATGATCATCATATTTGGATGTTGTGACTGTTTTGTTACGTTACTTTGAAATTTACCTCACAAAACATCCGCTCACATATACATGTAAAGCTAAACCGTTTTGAAATACAATTCTTTAACTGTTTTTGTTCCATAGCTTGATGGTTATAATCGACTCACTGGTAGAAATACTCCGTTGATGTAGTCATTTCGCTTCTGGACAGGTGTGTACACAGATAAGGCCTTGAATTATTTCCTTAAATAGATCATGTTATAAATATATTTGTCACGGCATAAGTGGTAATTGTGACTTTGAATACTTGTTGGTCTACCTTGTTTGAATACCTAGAATCTGATGAGAGTTAATTTCATGATCTGAGCATCATGTACATTGCTACACGAAATGTGTTGAATTATAACGTTTTGATGGTTCATTTAATTTTGTCACGTCTTTTCCATGTAGAAAATATGTAACATTCCGTTTACGATTGCTCGGATTGCGTTCATCTTACTCGTTAAATGTTACCCGTGAAGAGTATACAGTGTACTAAAATCTGGTACTTTGACTTTGAACAAACAGTTTGTACCGGGAAGAATATCCAAGCTCCTGTTTTTTCCTGAGTTCTTTGGAAGCAGTGCAAGTGACGTGGTCTCTTTCGAAAGGCTAGATGATAGCTCTCTCAGTAACTGAAATCAAGGAACTATATATTACTGTTTACTTGAGGGAACATAATACGATCTAGTTGTTGAAATACTTTGAATTGTTTCTTCCGCCTACCCTGCTGTTGACCTTTGGGACTTGATCTAACAAATGAAATACTTGTATCAACAGCATGACCTGCTGTTTCCGACAAGGACTTTATCCTGCTCTTGGAACACCTAAAATTGTAATCTACTACGTGGTGGGCAATGTTTAAAATACATGAAATAATTTTTGCTTGTCGACCTAATTTAATATGGCCTTCTGTTAAAATACATGTACCTTGAATTCCTTTTTTCAGCATGGTCTGCTGTTGGGTGGTGAAAAGGATTCTCCGAGGCCGAATGTTTTGTCGAAGTCTGGCAAAAGTGTAGAGCGTTCCCCGACTGTGGAGTGCTTCAGGACGACATCATGGACAAACTCATACTGACCCTGAACAGACAGGTTAAACAGTCATTACTATATATATATATGGTAGTTCATGTCAGTATATCGGCAGTAGTGGATAAACTCGACACACTACTAAATGAGTGATGAACGTCAGTGTGTTGCGTCAATATGTTGATCAGAGTTGTCATTTGAGCAGAGTATAATAACGCTTAACATTTCCTCATCACAGAAACACTGAGACGGTATCTTCATGCGGCATGCAGATAGGTAATGTATGTATGGAGGATAACTGAAAAGAAGTGTCTATTTGTAGTTATAGAGGTTACAATACCTACCAAAGGAAATCTCAGAGATTCACAGTGTCATGTTGGGAAATGCAACCCCGCCGCCTCAAGCGGTAACCCGCAGGTATAGCAGTTCATTTATTACCCATATAACTTAATCACGACCAAAGACTTAACAGAACGCCCGAACGTTCGCATTGATCCATGTTTAGCACTAACCGGGTCTGGATGTCATTTCAGTTTCATCTTTGCTGTGTGTAATATATTGTGATTTGTTTACACCCACATTGATACATCATACACATACCACTGTCTGGACCATGTTCATCCTGTTCTGTCTCATTTTGCCACACACATGTACACGTTGACCCTGTTGTCACTCTCAGCTTCATCCATCAGGTAGTCAGGGCAATGAACGTTCCTGTTCGGCCTACCCAGCGCTTGAAAGATAAAACAATACTTACTGGAGTATACGTGAACAGAAAAGGTGATGCTAATATCATGCCATTTATGTTTGACCGATGAAGTTCTTGACGCACTTGGAGAACTTTTCACAATAGTAAAATAAGTGTATTTGAAACATTCAGTCAAGTGTCCATGTGACCCTCGACTATGACACTCATTCCGGCGTTAACATCCATGGCTCCCACCACATCTAAAGCATACTTTCAGTGTGTGTCTACATCTGTGCTGGGTAGGGCGTTAGACAACCAACCTATATATGTAATCTGTCAACTCCTAAGGTACCTGCAGTGCACTACCATGGGTCCCAAGCCCATGTCCCCCTGTTTGACCAGTCTCCAGAAGTTGACGAGGGCAGGAGCAGAAGGAACACCATGGTCAGGCCAAGATGTGAAGTGATAGTGCGTCAGAGTTTTCTCGACACCCTGTAGACAGCAGACTTACAATGAATAAATCCATCCATCAATAGAAATTATTAGGTTAAGGTTAAATAACTTCCTTATCAGAGGGACCTCAAACACGTACAAAGTACGCGCAAAAAGCGATGGGTTAATTGCGTCAAATAACGTACGTTTTGTTTAAAGAGTTACAAAAGTTAATGGATGGGAGTAGTCTAAAATAAGAAGTCATCGCAAATTGCATGCACTTACAGAGCATTGCACCAGGAAAGTAGAAATTGTGTAATCAGCTCTTTTTGTAACATCCTCGTTATTAGCGAATTTTCCGTAGGTTTCGGTCGTGGTCGCATCAGGCCAATATTTTGCACTTTTTCTAGAAAATCAGAAAAACCAAACAACTGGATTAATTCATATTTTTGCAAGGAAACATCACCAACTTCAGGGTTCATGAATATGTTGACACACATTATCAGCATGTAGACATGTAGATCATTCACCAAATTGTCAAAGGAACCATAGAACACATCCTACCTTGTTCATCTCCATCAGCCTCGTCAGCATGACTATCTGTGTGACGTCCTTCTGCCACACCATCCGCCAGAAGTCAGTGATGGTTCCCGGTTTAGGTCCTGTGGTGTCAATATATTTTCTTTAGGTCTAAGAAGGTCATTTCTCTTATATACATTACAGTCAATCTGTAAAACCGGTCATTTGGACAAATGACTAAAAAAATAGAGTTCTAGTTAGACTGATTGCCTGAACAGTTTCAGTCAATCCATCAAATGTAAGGTATTTGTTTTGAATGTTGACTCAACAGAAAACACAATCATGGTGCACATGGTTTCTCTTAAACAAACACGCTGTAGTAATCAAAGAAAAGAATAGACAAAGGGGTGGTTACCACATACACGGCAGGCCGGCCCATTCAACACACGTGTATTGTATCACAGAATAATACATCCAACGTACCTTTGTGCTATGTACTTCTGAGTATCATCGTAACCCTAAAGAATAGCATAAAATACATGTACACTTTGTCTGCATATACTAAATACATTACATGAACCTCTGCCTCAATATAGCATTGCGAGTGGCACATGAATTACATGTACGTTACATTTACATAAGTCATTTCAGTTAGGTACTGTTTTCTGGACTTAAAGAGGCAGAACCACCATGATATGTAACACTTATGTTACTTTGGGAGACTGTTGCTCCACTTTCGAGAAAAAATTCCAGTTACCCCTAAAGTTCATAAAGATTTTGCCTTTTACGTTTAATGAAACTAGAAGAGATTGGTTATTCTCTGTTGTTGCTAAGTTTACTTACATAGATATAGTTGGCATTGATGTAGTCCTCCCCATCTTCAACACTACCCTCGATTCATCATCTGGAGAAATAACAATCAACATGAATCCTTCTGTAGTGGCGTGTAGCGACATCAATAGTTTGGTTTGAAGTAGTATTGATATTAAATTTTATCATCTCATTGAGACTGCTATCGGTGCAAAAAGCAATCTGATAAACTTGGTATCAAAATCTGACAACAATGCAAATTACGTCAATCCACGAATTACTTTCTCAAAATCCATACATGCCATGCAAATCCTAAAACGTTAACATTTCATTGATGACGTCGTCGCGAGTTTACATTGCGTGGAAGAGTTGGCAACAAACATGGCTGCCCCATTCTCAAAATTGGTGATTCTGTAAGAATTGATGACAGAGGTTCTGGAGCCTTACTGCAGTAATTGACTTTGGAAAACATGAAACGGAGAACTTCGTTCAAATTGAAGGTTCGGATTATGAGGCACCAGTGATTAGATTGGCTATCGTCTAAGAAAGGTACCAACCAAGGATTTCGATCTACCAATCACAACAAAAAAGACGACGAATCGATTCTGTCAGGTATCAGAAACTGATATTGATGAGTTAATTACCCGCAATGAAAATAGAAACACTACCACACTGTTGTTCTTTCTAGACAGAAAGATCTTATTTTAGGCATGAGTTATGTTTGCACTGTATTAGCGACTAGGCACAACCATATGCCGCCGTCATGAACGACCTTCACCTTGGGGTACCAATAATTATTCATACGCATAATACATTATTTATTCCTTATATATGATATTAATGATACGGAAACACACTCTGTTAATAATCTCTATTCATTATCACAAAACTCTCAAAAGTGCATACAGACCAATGTATGTTTTGGTGGCAAATATCGTTTACTCTTTAACATTGATTTGAATGTAACGCTCAATGCATACATATTTATAGAATTATACATTTGTCACATATTAGCAGTATGCCTTAATTTGCGGTCTCATGTGCAGTTATCAGCTTACATGCATACAGGGCAAGGAAGCGGTTCTTCATCTTGTTTTCTGGCTGCTTGGCGACTTCATGTGGGTGTTTTGCTCCATATGGGATGGCCTACAAGACACGTGGGAAGTGATACACATGGTTGTAAACATATGCACTCCTTCTTTCAAATATTGGCTATTTTAATCAAGGTTCGTTTTTAAGAGGAAGTCGTAAAGATATTCTTGCTCATGTTCCTTAGCTTCTCATCTCTCGTTCAATGTTGTGTCGTAATATAGCAGAGCTTAGTCATGAGCGTCATGGACATGCATGTATTTGTGATATACGTGACACAGATATTCTCTTGTAGGCAATATCTGTGTTTAAATATTGTGTGACACATTGTATTTGTTTGAAATGGTAAGCGTGGGATAACTCACACTGCACAGAGACCAATTATAGCATATTATGTGAAAGAAAATTAATTGTGAGATTCTTCTAGCTGTAGCAGTTGTTAGTCTGATTGCCATAGGTCGATCCACTTTAAGCACTAAGTTGTTCCCATTGTTTTAAACCCAAGTGGAATGTACAAGCTGAATGTGTATATAGTTTCAACAAACCTGAAGTTCCATTGGAAAAGTGGCCTTAGTTTTCTTTTCAATTATACACTGCTGCAAAGTGTCCAGCGTCATGTGAGGTGGTACAAAGTTGTAGTAGGTGGCGGAAGCGTCGTTATCTACGTCTACTTCAGCTTCAACAGATAGGGTTGCGTCTTCGTCTTCATCGTCCTTGGTCGCTGGTGTTGAACTGGGTTTGTGTCTAGCTGCCTTGTCTGAAAACGTTAACAAAGTTTTGAATAACCTTCTTCTCTCACAATTCATGATTCCGTTTATGCAAACCAAACAGAACAAAGGATTGTCATTTGCCATTCTTCATGCAATACCAAACTACATCTCTCCAAAGGTTTATACAAAATTATATGACTGAGTGTTTACTGCATTTTATGTTAATAATACACAATATCTGTTTGAAGAACACACGTCAGCAATATACAGCTGTCTTTTAAATTCGAGATAAAACGATGAGTTCAGTCTGCGTACAATTTAATGTTGAAAAAGGATAAAGTTATAAATGACCCAAATGTATACGTGTATCCATTCACATTATATTTTGCTTCCAATATGCGAGGGTTACATGCATATATTCACTTAGGATACGGGTTATTGCGTCCGTATCAGTATTAAATTTAATCGACAACACTCCGAACTTACCAATTCTGGTTTTTAAGTTAATCATATCTTGGGTAGACTGCAGTCTCTCGTTGTCATGTTTTGCTTCCCTCCTTTAACATAAGAGAAAAGAACACAATTGAATACTGAGAATACCTACCTTGTAGAAATGGCCATTAGGTCGAGATATCGAAGGTTTCATAAACATTGGCAATATGACGTGAAACACCATCCAGGTTCACAAAGAGATTAATGTAAAGGCACGAACTGTAGAAGTGCTCATACCTCCGCCTGAAGATGATAACTAAGACGATTATAACGATGGCGATGACCAACAGAGCTGCAACTGTCCCTCCAATTATTCCAGCCATAGAGTCTTCTTTATCATCGTTAGGCGACAGACCTTCAAAGTCATTATTCATACTACAGTTACTTGAATGGAAAAAGCTTGTGGTATTCATTAGATGCACTGAAGACTATAACTGACAGTATTTTCAATTTCTTACGCTGTTGTTGATGATTTGAGAAACAAAATATTTAAAGTAAACTATGATAGGCTTCAGTAGGTAAATCGTGATTGTGTTCTTGAAAAGAAAATATGTTGTGTATAGAAAAGGCAAACAAATTGAAACTTTCAAATTTGTGTCATATATAACTAACACTTTGCGATAAGGGCGGTCTTAATGTAGAAAGCAACAGTAAACTTTGATTGTAATCCCCCGATCGGTATTATAGGGTTTCCAGTATCCAGATTTAGATTCAAAGTTATTATGATTGTTACTCGAAATGAATTAAATACATTCAGTGTTTATCTGAGAGACACTATCCTGTTCCAAGTTCATACACGTAAGCACATACGTTCGCAGCGAGCACCTGAATACCATCCATCACATCCACTCCCGCAGGTTCCGTTAGTTTTGTCACATACTGTGCCGTTCCTGCAGTGACCACATTCTGACGTGCAACCGCTTCCGTACTTCCCGTCTTCACACACTGAAAAAACCAGCATGGTATCACCAAGTCGCATTTACTTGTGTTTGTTTTTGTCAGAGGATACATAAGTTTATTCCTCTGTTCTTTCAGATATCACATCAGGTGATCAGGTGAGTATACTAATCGATAGTTCATGTCCGCTACATTACGTTTCCATGTGTTTACATCTCATACAATGCACATGGGTGCCTTACCTTGATTACACGTGTCATTGATCCACCCTGCTGCACATCCTCAGGACATGTTCCATTTGTCTTGATGCAAACATCACCATCCATACAGTTGCCACACTGGAAGCCACAGTTCGGACCATAGTAATCATTCGGACATGCTGTAAACATAAACGAATTGTTTGCTCAATTTGTTAAGGACGCAAATGAAAATGTTCCTGCCCTCCTCTAATTCACAACTGACAAGATGGAATTGAGAACATTAGAAACATCAAGTCATGGAGTTTACCACTTGTAGAGCAAGGTAGGAATTAACAAACACTGTCATTACCTTAATTGAGTAGTAATTATTTATTCAGAAACAAAAAAGTAATATAATCATTATATAGTATCATTATTATAGGCACATGTAAATTTATATGTTATGAGCAAGACAAATTAAGTAATAAGTACAATTCTACACAGTATAAAAACTGTACTGTATACATTCATGTTCAAGAAATTGATCGTTCATCCATCCTTCTGCACATCCTCTATAAATGCACATTACTGTTACACATATAACTACCAAGCCAGTGTGCAAACTGAGAGTCCACAGTTCATACATTACCATACATCTTGACATACTGGTCATATTTCTTTGCATATCATGATAAGACGCAAGGAGTATATTCAGTGGTTGACAGCAATTAACTTCTCTATGGGTATAACAACCGTAAGTTACAAACCATATCGCCTGACAAAGCTGAAGTTATATTAAACAGGTCGATGAAAACACACAGAACAATTTTTGGATGAAGTGTTAAACATAATATTTAAAAACATCCCCAGTACTGACGGACAA